ATTTTTTTAAAACCAAATTTTACAATATATTTTTTTAATTTGACATATCGCGATGTTACCAACTATTCATACTTTTTAATAATTTATTTTAACTCATAACTACTCCATCCAATGCATTCTACTTGTGTTTTTCTTATGCAATTTACGTGATCTGTCTTACTAGGGTGGGGTTACCTTCGTACACCAAAGATTAATGATCAATTAAAAGAATAAACTATTAATTACAAACTCTTCTTCGCATAAATATTACGTATGCTGAGCTGTCTCAAGGATTCTCGCAGACAGTCCCAAAACTTTTACTTACGCCACTGCACCCGTCTCTTCATACAGCAATGCAATGGCCACCCGTCAACGTATATTAGCTCTCTACGAAAGCATGGTAGCCCTTTTTATTAGATTTGACGTGTTCTCTGATTGGGTGTGCGCGAGCGCCCGAATCAATAATGAACTTGGAAGAAACCAGAGAAAGTGAGGGACAGTGAGAAAGATTGGATGAAAAAGAAAAGAGAGAGAATAAATTCCAAGGCAAATGCGGGTATAAACTTCACCACTAAAAAAGGCAGATTGGAAGTCTTTACTCTTTGACATATAAAACCTCCACCAAGCGTAACACAAACCCTTCCCTCCCGAGCAAATTCTGAAATAGTCAGCTCCATATTCGTTGCTAAAACACCTCTGTCTGGTCTGTTTTTCCTTTTGAGTTGCAGTTTGCAAATATGAGCGACCCCAAGTATGCTTATCCCTACCCTGCTCAAGGTACTCTTTTTTTGGTTTCCCTTTTGTTCATATAGTTTTGTTAGATTTTACAGAATGCAAATTGTAAAGTTCTTAGTTTTTGCAGTACTGGCAAAGTTTTATTTGGAACTTGCTACTCATCTTTCAGATTACGAAGCTTGGAACACCATGTTATGTTCATGGGTTTCTGTTTCCTAGAATTATTTTTTATTCTTAAAAAATTATGGTTTTCTTTTTGTTTTATTTTTTTTTGTATGTAAATGATTTTGTAATTTGTTTTAATTGGTTTGATGTCTGAATTTTTGGTTACCAGGTTATTACCAAGGGCCCCCAGTGATGGCACCACCACAATATGCTGCTCCACCACCAAGGAGACAGCCTGGTTTCCTTGAGGGCTGGTATTTCTTCTCCCATCTCTTCACATGTTCTCTGCTTTTCATGCTTTTTCATTTTTTATTTTCATGGTTCAATTTTTTGTTCGCAGTCTTGCAGCTTTGTGTTGCTGCTGTCTTATTGACGAGTGTTGCTGTGATCCCTCCATCATCTTTGTGAGCTGATAATCCCTGTAATTACACAACATCTGTAATCTCACTTCTGTATTTATGGGATATATCTAAGAACAGTTTAATGCAGTAAGGTTTGATCTTGTGAAACTGTTTTCTATGTTGTGCTTTGGACTTCTAGTTTGTTCCTTGGAGTTGCTGTGCCATTATTATCCTTGTAATTCTCTAAGCAGTGAATAATATAAGTATCAAATCTATAATTGTGATGAAACTTCTAGTAATCTAGTCTCCAGACTTTTCTTCTTTTTTTTTGCCCTTTCAAATAATTATAGTACTATATTTAATTGGACTTGAAGAAATTAAATTATGTTGGAGAATAAATACTGTTTCACCAATAAAAAGGAAAGAAGGATTAATTGTGGTTTATGAAAAGATACTGTGGATCTGTTTATGGAGTAGTGAACAATTTCAATCTTATGACTTTTCCACAGCTGTGGGGTCATAGGGTGATTAAGACAGAAGATTAAAGGAAACAAATGGTTCAAGCATAAAACCTTCCATGAACCTTTCTTCTTCTTTTTTAATTTTTGGGTTTTAGATTAAACAAAGGAAGGTAGTTTGTGGTCTAGTTTATTAATTTCATCCTCCCATTGAAGTCTGATGGTGCCATTAGTCTCCAGGCAAGGTAATTAGCCCTCTATACGGTGGAGGGCCAAGGCATTTAGCATTGTCAGAGGACTGGGTTGCGAACTTGCAATATTTGGTAGTCAAACTGTCGAGTCATCTTATCTAAAAAGAATGCGTTTTGCCACATAAACTCAGCAACACTCGTGGGTATCCGGTTCCCTATTTATGACTATATTATTATTCCTCGACAATTCTGTTGGTTGGTTAATTGGCTTAATATTTAGGTATCTGTATATGACACGGGGGGGAGATTCCAGAGGTGTGGGTACCATTTTGTCATTGACTCAAAGCATCACAAAACTATATTCTTAATTCCAACATTATGGTTTAAAATGAAGGAAAAAGATGAGGAGTTTTAAAATATTATCATTGATGGAATTGTTGGCCATTTACAAGAATAACAGGAGAGTTTTCAGGATCAATATTGGTCAGTGACAGATCTAGAAAACTTTAATTTCACTAAAGAAGATGGACAAAACTTTTCCCTTCCAACATCAAGAAAGCTGCTTATCACCAAGCAAAGCCTGTAGAGAAGCGGTGACAAATAAGAAATCAACAATTCCATGCGACCCTGAAGTTGGTTTGCTAAAATTGATCAAGTTGTGAACCTAATGTTGACATGAGAAGATGGATAGACTTCTCTGAAGTTTTCATTTTCAGGGTAGAGTTATCTGTCAGGTTGTGCTAATGTAATCTCGGACATAAACCTAACACCATCTAGGATTGTAACAAAGGCGGAGATTATTGCACTCTTCTGCGTTCTAACGTGATATGATCTGAGATGAGGCATGCACAGCAGAGTCAAGTGTGCAATTATCACGCTTTATTGTTCAAAAAATTCCTTTTACGTTAAAAATGCATACTTTACTTCGACGTTTCATTGATGCAAGAACTGTATGCAGCTTTTGAAATCATGAGAAGACTTTAGGAAGAGTATGAAGTAATTCACTGTAATTCACCATTAAATATAATTAAAATAGTAGTATTATAGAGTATTGTAATACATTCCCACTTCCCAGAGAAGTTTATTCTTGCAGGAAACTATACATCCAAGCGAGAATTTGAAGAAACAGAACCGAATCTTAACTTCAGGCACAATGTAAGGACACAAACTTCATATAATAGCTATAATTATTCTGCCAGATGGAGCGATGGGAATAAGAAGCACTAAACGCAATTATTTACTGGACAGGCACTCTGCATGTGGATTATGTAAAACTTGCTAGAACCATATCCAGATGCGTGGAGTACCTGCCAATATTTACTCCCATAGACATCAAGCTTTCACAGCCTCTTCCATGTATATGGGCTTTTCACATCCATTGCTTATTGCCAAATTTCCAGGTTCACTACCATCTATATCATCGCCACAACTAAGGCCACACCCACCACACTCAGTGCTCCTGACCCTGCTTCCACAACCAGCACCAGATCCGCCACAGCCACCACAACCACTGCTATTCACCCTGGTCCCACAACCCCCTCCACAGCCACTGCTGTTCACCATGCTTCCACACCCACCACCGCATCCAGCACCGCAACCACCACAGCCACTGCTGTTCACCATGCTTCCACACCCACCACCGCATCCAGCACCGCAACCACCACAGCCACCACTCTTCACCATGTTACCACATCCAGCACCACAGCCACCACAGCCACCATTCTTCACTTCATTTCCTTTCTCACCTCCATAGTCCCCATTGCATGTATCTTTTTTGGGTATCATTGTATTTTCTAAGGTCACATCAACATCTAAATTGACTTCAGTTTCTATGGAGGTGGTCAGGTTGACATGGTCATTCTCAACTTCTGTTGCACTATCTACCTCTTTTGTATTTTTGACATCAATGGTCAAGCCAATGTGTCCTTTCTTCTTCAAAATGTGAGAAAGTATAAAAGCTGATATCAATCCAGGCAAAACGAACCATTTCTCCTTTGCCTATTCAGTTTTAAAATGAAAAGTAGAAATGTAAGTTGCAAGTTCTTTTGTAATTGTATATTTGTGTGTCAAATAAATAGGTAAACTACCTTCAGACATCCAGATTTCAAGTCAAGCAATGCAACGGCCTTTCCATATGGATGTTCTGCAGAAAACTCAACAGCAGTCATAAAGTCACCTTCATTTCTCTGCTTCTCACAATGTTTGGGTTCATAATCCAGTTTTCTGCCAAGAAAAACTTTTACCTGTTCAAAGACAATAAGTTCAGTGGAGTTAATTTAATATCATAATCAAAACAAAAGGACGTTTCTCGGCAGATCTACTGTAAGGAAGTATTTCAGTAAGACTACAGGAATAACACTAAAAATTAGATTAATACATATCATGTATACACACAGCTAATACATGTAAAGACTTGGGCAGAGAAAATTCAAAGAAATTAGCAATAAAATTACGTAATATGATCTCCATGAGCAGTGTGCAAGGGATAGATGAATGATTCAGGTAGCCAATCATGTTAGGGATGTTTGCATGTACACACATACATATGCAGTGACACTGTGAGTATATGTGAGTATGAGGGTTGGTCCCTTTTGTAGGGTGGGTCAGGTTGGCAGTTGACATAAGGGAAGAACCTTTACTGCTCTATGCTTTAGTTGCCAAAATGAAAGATCTACTAGAATTTAACAACAGGGTGATAATGCAGTGACACTGTTTAAAATAAAGGTTTCTGGCCACATGGATGTCAAAGAAGAAATTTTTGCAATAACCTAAGAGATTTAAATATAACAAGCAAACAAATGGATGCATACCATCCTATTGCCTTTGAGATCAAAGAGATGACCATTTTCACTGACTTCTGCTGAATGCTGAAGGACCCATTGAGAATCCATTAAAGACCAACGAGTCCCAACAAACTCTGCCAGAGCATGTGTTTCACCATGCTTTGTGGTGCCAATTACTTGCTTCCCTGAAAGCCAGTTTCCTTTCATCTTTGCCTTTCCAGATTCACTATAATCAAGCCCCCAAATGGTAAAATTACTGCTTCAGAACATTACATATCTTGCAACTAACAGTATGGTGAGCCACCAGAAAGATGCAAAGGCAATATAATTTTTTTATCATGGCTTTAACATAAAAGTTAATGAACAGAAAATCCCTGAATCAAGGGTATTATCCTAAAAAAATGAACAAAATTATAGTAAGAAATCCTTAAAATTGTCTGTATTTTTTGAATTTTATCATGAGAAATAGTTTACCAGTTGAGCATTAACTTTTGTGATTAGCACATTAAATGTTATCCAGTAGCAAGCATCTAATAGAATGGTCGATATAAACCTTTCTTTCAAAATCTAGGAAAAGTGATATCTCTGTTGGGAAGAGTGGACATAATTATGGTTTAGCATATTAAAGCTTGACAACTACATAAACAGCACAGATCAAAGAGTCCCTATGGAAACTGTGGAATCTCTGATGTTAGAGATTAGACAAAACAAGTAGCGAATTCCAGCATCAAATAGAATGTATATGAGCCTGTGCAGCGTGAATAGCATGTTTACCAAACATTTTCCACTGAAATGTTTATTGATTTGTCCATTATATTATTACCAAAAAAAAAAAACAAAAATGGATTACATAACAGCAATTGTAACTGTTTTATACATACTTGTGTACACACAAACACAGAAGAGAGAGAAAGATAAACATGCACACACAGGAATACAAACACTTAATAAGACACAAAAATACGAGGAAGGAAATGCTAAAGTTGCTTGCAAGTATAAAATTTGGATGTAAGTATACCTCATTTGGAGTCTTATCACGTCAGCTTGAGTTTCATCAATGACACGTGTGCAACCCTTACCAGCTTGGACCCTTCCTGCCAACGGGAGCTGGAAACAAGAACCTTTTGAAAAAGGGCGGGATCGAACCATGTGAAGGATGTGTGGTGCTATGGTAGGTACTGTAAATGAAACAGCAACTCGTAGGCCAATTGGTTTTGAGGATCCATTTCCAGAACTGGGCATCAAGTCTAACCATTTCTCCACAGCAAGTTTAGAAACTGGAACCAGAAACTCTCGTAAAGAGAGTGAAGCAGTACCTAAAGTTTTACATGTCTTTGTTCCTGGTAAGTTGGAAGCTGAATGTGATGCAAGTTCGAAGAGCAGTTCACCATTAGGTTCACACTGAAATGAAGCAACCTGTTTCTGCCCCGACTTAGATAAGATACTCAGTTTCTGCTTAGCATTAAAGAACACATCAGGTTGACTTTTACTAAACAACACAAAGAGGTTTCCCTTTTTCTCATCTGGTAAGTTCTTAACACCTACAAACTCCAAAAGGACCTGAAAAAGGCAGTAAGAATAATGAGTTAAAAACCATTGAAGTATGAAAGCTGCTTCAGGAACCTGGCCAGGCTAAATATAAGAAAAACTGAGAAACTATGAGTAATTTAATACAATCAAAACAAGTTGATAACAAGCAGCATCTACTTTCAGAAGCATAGTAATAGCTTTAATTATATGTTATTATTGAATTCATGTCAGAAGTTTTGATCTTCAATTATCTTTAAGTTGATAATGATGTAGTTGAGATCTAACATTTCTAAGTTCTATAGGATTTTTCATTTATCAGTAAAAATCTACAAGGACTCAGCACAGCCTTTTGTTAGAAAGCCAAGAATTACAGCATGTATCAAGAACATAAAAAATAATGCAGATAAAGTTAAGCTTCAAGGATAAGCATTGCAAACCAAGAACACGAAACTGGCATCTGATAAGATCTGTTATTTCATGGAAGGCTAAAGAAAAAAGTTACCAGAAACTACCTCCACAACCTTCATCTCTGGAAGCTTAATAATTTTCTGACACGCATTTGTGGCATCTACTTCCTTACTCAAAGTGTCAGGAATGCAAGGAATGGCTGTGAGAGGAGAAGGAGAACTCCCTCTATACATGGCCCCTGCCTTCCAGTACCTTATGCCAAATGTCTCTTCCCACTGTTTAGTAGTCCCAGAAAATCCAACATCAAGCTTCTTCCCTTTAGTTCTGTCTGAGTCTGTATCATCATGCTCCAATATCTTGTCAACTGCTTTATTCAAATCTTTGCAGTAAGAGACAGGATGCAACTGGTGGGTATGCCAGATAAGGTCAATGTCATAAGTTGGAACACAGAAGCGCTTTATGGACCTCTCTCGATTTCTCTTGATTAGATGCAAGAAACCCTTATATCTGGCAACAGCTCCTTCAATAAAGATGTCATTGTGCATATGGGCTCTAGACACCTGTCACAGAGACCAAGATCAAGAAGATGCTAAAGGAAAATTGAAAGATGGAAAACTAGAGTCTAAAGCAATTTCCTAATCATATATGTGTTTCTAATCCAACCAGATATACTTGGCATTGCATAAAGCTTTTAACCTGACAACAAGCATCATCAGAGCCCCCTACACCATTTTCTTGGTCAATTCTAAAACTTCTGTTTCATAGATGTTGTCATTCTAGTGGCCATCAACTAATCTACTAATTGACATTAAGAATTATCAGAATTATTACTTGAA